GGTTCTGAAGCTCGGGACTCTCCATAACCCTAGCACTTATAAGTTAAATAATGTAGAACTTAGCCATACAGATTGCGAAAAGGACTTAGGGGTTATGATAAGCAGCAACGTTAAACCAAGACAGCAATGCCTAAGCGTACGTAATAAGGCAAACAGATTACTAGGATTTATACCAAGAAGTGTAATAACAGTTCAGCGGTTGTATTACAGCTTTATACATCATTAGTAAGGCCTCACCTAGATTATGCAGCTCAGTTCTGGTCTCCATATTACAGAATGGACATAAATTTGTTAGAAAACATTCAGCGTACAATGACTAAATTAATGAAGAAAGATTGAAGACTCTTAAATTACATTCCCTTGTTAGACGAAGAATGGAGGGAGACGTGATCGAAGTGTATAAGTGGAAGATGAGTATTAATAAAGGGGATATAAATAAGGTCTTGAGGATCTCTCTCCAAGAGAGAACCCGCAGTAATGGATTCAAATTAGATAAGTTTAGATTTAGAAAGGATATAGGAAAGTATTGATTTGGAAATAGGGTAATTGATGAGTAGAACATTCTGCCTAGTTGGGTTATTGAGGCTAGGACTTTGGGTAGTTTTAAATTTAGGTTGGATAAATACATGAGTGGGAGGGGTTGGATTTGAATGGGACTTGCATAAGAGTGGATAGAGTTATCAGAGCTTATTTCTTGGGTAGCATTGAAAATTGGGTTGGGCAAATGTTTTGTTAGTGGGATGGATTGTAAAGAACCTGCTTAGTATGGGCCAGCAGGTCTGCTGCAGTGTTCCTCCTTTCTTATGTTCTTATATATACATAATATATATATATAAAATATATATATATATATATATATATAATATATATATATATATATATATATAATATATTTATATATATGTATTATATATATATAATTATATATATATATATATATATATTATATATATATATATAATAATATATATTATATATATATATATATATATATATTTTATAATATATATAATATATATTATATATTTATATAATATATAATATATATATATAAAATATATATATATATATTATATATATATATATTATATATATATAATATATGTATGATAACCCCAGACCACAAACAACTGAGCAGAATACTTGGATGACCAGATAGTATTATAACCCCCACACCAAAACAACTAAGGAAAATACTTGTATGCCTAGGGACCACATCAGTATTCTGGAACAGCATGATCAACAGCATGTAATAATGATGAGATGTGGTCCCTAGGCGTACAAGTATTTTTCTTAGTTGTCTTGGTGTGGGGGTTATAATACTACCTGGTCATCCAAGTATTCTGCTCAGTTGTTGTGGTCTGGGGTTATCATACTTTCCGGTCATCCAAGTATTCTCGTTGGTCGTGGTCTAGGGGACAGCCATCTAGTTATTCATGTATTTTCCTCATTTGTCGTGGTTTAAGGAACATATCACCCAGTTATCCAAGATTCTCACTTGTGAATATAGCTGCCACAGTCGTGATTTAACTTGGAATTCATCTTCTGTGTTGTACCTTCAGTGAGTCACTAGATGCTCTCTCGCAACTAGCAGTGCAGCATCTCCTTAGGTGTCCTGATATTGGTTTTGAAGTTAGGGGTGAAAGTTCATGGAAGAGCCTAACTCATCCTTGTCTTATGAAGAACACTGGGTGAAGCAGTTGCATGTCCGGCTTTTACCACTTTACACTAGAGCCGGATTGTGGTATTTTCGCATGTCGTAATACCTTATTCTGACGTGAACATTTTAAAAGAGATTGAAAGCCAGCGCGCTGTGTAGGTCGTGAAATATAAGAAGTGTGTGTGGGTGCAATCCTTTCCCCAACCTCCACTCTTGTCCTGATTTTTCAAGCTTATCAACCTACCTGAGGTTGTTAAAGTGACTTGGTTTAGACTCCAGTTTAAGCCAAATATATCCTTGACGTTTTATCGTCGATCATGCGGACATATAAGTTATTTCTTTCTCCTCAAACATGAAGGTTGACCAAGAGTGTGTGCATCTTGTAGTTAATTACACTAAGGTGTAACTTGCCCACATTCGGTTTATTGTGAGAAGATTTTCTCTTCGGCTGTTTTCCTTGTAATTAATTTAGCCAAAGTATTCCAGGTTACAACCTTCATTGGGGTTACTTTAATAAAAGTAATGCAAAACACATAAATATTCACAATTACATCTCCCACAGATGTGTTAAGAGCTGGTGTTGATAATGACACTATTCAGGTTATGGAGTAAATATCATTGCATGTTTTTTAGTATCCGTTAAGAATGATGTCTACATTTTAACATTTCTGGGCATCATAATACCAAGTTACCCGGTTACTGGTACTGAGAATACTTAGCTGCTTGCATATCTTGAACAGTTTTGTGGTTTCAGGCAACCAAAAATAATTCTGGGGGCTTCGTTCTGAATTAACTCCATTAATTCCAAAGGTCAAAGAGATTTTTCCTTGCTAATAATAACATACGTTCAGTTTAATTTATCAGGATCAAATATAGGCTCTGAGAGCATGTAGCCTATCTCTTCAGTTTTAATGAATTGTGGTACTTCTATTAGAGAACACATCGAGTATCATGTTTCTGTGGTGATATTTGAGTATTAGACGCAGATACAACGATGTAGTTTTAGTTATCAGCATCACTGACGTAAGTATAAATATTTAGAAAAACATTTATTTGTACTTTAATAGCATAAGTGGGAACACCATACTATATAATAAGGGGCGTTTATGAATCACTTTTAAAACTAGAGAAGAGGACAGTGGATAACCCGTGTCATGAGCAGTTTGTTATCTAATTGTGTAAGATTCTATCACTGTTCATTTTGGCTGTAAATAACGAACCTGTTTTATTATTAAATGCAACTATATAGCAAAAAGTGTGGTCAAACTAGTAGTAGACCGTGCAGTAAGAAAAAAGTTGCCAGGCTAGTAGTAGACCGTGCAGTAAGAAAAAAGTTGCCAGGCTAGTAGTAGACCGTGCAGTAAGAAAAATAGTTGTCAAACTAGTAGTAGACCGTTTGGTAAGGAAAGTGTGATTAAACTGTTAGTACATATAGCGTTCAGTAAGATAATGGGCTAATTAAATTTTGTACACAGTCTTCCTCTCAAGGAAGGTTTCTTGATGCTGGTGAGGGGCTCTTGATCTAGGAAACTGGATCTGTGCTCCAGTTTCCTGAATTAACCCTGAATACCTTCCATTTCCCCCCCAACAGGCGCTGTATAATCCTACGGGTTTAGCGCTTCCCCTTTATAATAATAATAATAATGTACACAGTCTTCGTTCATAAAGTCTATTTCTAACTTTGCAGAGTAGTGGTACTTATCGTTTTTACGATTACAGACCCCAGTGGATTATACCTAATATGTCCCTATGAACAAATAAGTCGCACATAGGAGAGAGAAGCTTACGACGACGTTTCGGTCTGACTTGGACCATTGACAGTCACAATAACACAAAAGAGTGAGGGAACCAGTATATGTAGGCCAGTCACGGTATTGTACCTTTTTGTTCTTTGTCTCCTACACCTCCTTCGCCAGACTATTAAAATCACCATCATCACCAGTCCTGTTAGGTACCAGTATGACTTTAAAAGATGTCAATAGCTTGGTTTTACTTTACATATGGATAGCTAGCAGCAGAACAGCTGATAATTTATTCTAATGTAACAACAGTTTTTAAATAGATCGAGTCCCATACCTCCAAGGGGTATAGATACGTATCCCCTGTTAAAAACTCTGGTGTAAAGTAACATTCAGTACATTAGTTTACAAGGTTATGCAAACATAGCTAGTAAGTTATATTGGGTTTGGAGGTATCAGGTTGCTGTGGCCTACAAAAATGATTTTTGGTCCAAGAATTCGGTAGGGCACGCTCAGTGTAACTTATTGTACAGTGAAATTATAGGTGTACGACACGGAATCCTGCAGGATGGCGGGGCACATTACTGGCCGAGTTTTACGTTACAGCAGACACTGCAGGAAATATAATAGTAGTAAAGCTAGTTATATGATCATATGTATATACGGTATAAGATGATCATAGGTGCCTAATTTCCCCCCTCCCTCTTTCTCTCGCCCCTACTTCCGTGCCTCTGGCTGGCTTCCTCCCTCTCCCTCTTTTTTTCTTTTGTCTCCCTCCCTCTGTCACTGTTCTTTTTTTCAGTCTCTCCCTTCCTCTTCCTTTGCTCTTTTTTTTCTGTATCACTCCATCCCTCTTCATCTACTCTTTTTGCTGTATCTCTCTTTCCCTCTCCCTTTTTATCTATCTCTTCCCCTCTTCCTATGTTATTTTTCTCTTTTGATTTATAGGAATAAGAATAATTCCCAGAAGTACTTGTCAGGGTAAGAAGAGTTAAGTTTATATCAGCAACAAGCTGATCATATCTAGATCTTTGTAGAGTTAATGTTAAGCATCACACATACTGTAACATACATTACAGGACACAGGGTGAAGATGGAGCCATCCGTGGGCCGGAGCTTTTATTGCCTCGGTCAACCTGATGTCACTGGTGTCTGTTGTGAGAATCTATTTTAAATGTGGTGTAGGAAGTGATGATCGTGTGATGTTCTTCAGGAAGGTAAAGCCAGTATAAAGCTGTTGATGGCTGCCCTTCATGTAGTATAACAGTTGTCTCCTAGCTGTTTATGACTTTTTCGTCTCTCTACATCCTTCCTTTTATACTTCACACCCTCTTCCTTCCTCGCTTACCTCTCTCCTTTCTTCACCTCTCCCTCCTTCCTTCATCCCCTCTCCCTGCTTAATATTCTTTCTCTTCTTCCTGTATACCCCTTTCATCTCTTCTTCCCTCCTTCACAACGTCTCCTTTCTAGGTAAATATGATTTTTGGGTGATTTAGCGTGGTCTTTCTTGATTAGTAATTATGGAAAGAGTGCAAGTTTGTGGTGGAGGTCCTGCCAGTGCGTATGTAACCATCCGTGTGTCTCTCTCTTCTCTCTTACAGTGACAAGTACACCAGATTCTGCCAGTGGAAAAACCTCGAGTTGAATATACAGGTAAGTCAAGGTTCGGGGAAGCCTGCTCCTTCCCCAACATTTTTGGTGTAGCTCAGGTATTTCTCTCTCTCTCTCTCTCTCTCTCTCTCTCTCTCTCTCTCTCTCTCTCTCTCTCTCTCTCTCTCTCTCTCTCTCTCTCTCTCTCTCTCTCTCTCTCTCTCTCTCTCTCTCTCTTTTTACACAGGGTTCGACAAGGTTAAGGATCCCTAGCTTTATTGACAAGCTATTTACATGTTAAGGATTCCTAACTTTATTGGCAAGCTAAGAGCTGTTACCTACATCAGCTCATTTGAAAGCATTTTTATTGTTATGAGACATACAAGTAGGGAACAGGATGAAGTTGGAGCCATCTGTGGGCCAGCATTTTCATTTGATCAACTGACTTTATCTCGTTGACATCATTATGCTGTACGAATGTGTTCCATACTCGAGTCATCCTGGGTATGTATGATCTCAGATGGAGTGATGTTCTGGAGAAGGGCACAGCCAGAGTGAAGTTGCTGCTTTCTGCCCGTCTTGTGGCATTAAAGCTTGTTTCACGCTGTCCTCGAAGTGGATCCAAGTGTGGTATTTTGACAATATTGGCCTTGTACATAACAGTAAGGCCACCCACATCCCTCCTATGTTGAAGGCTCTGCTGAAATGACAGATCTATCCAGGATGGGTCCAGGCGAGAGATGAGACGTCTTGCTCTGTTCTCTACTCTGTCAAGCAGTCGCAGATGAGAGAGGGGGCATGCAAAACCAAGAAAGTGGAGCATACTCAAGGTGTGAGCGTACTTGTGCCTCGTACAGGATCTTGCAACCCCTACTGTCAAGCAGATGCGAGATACGGCGAAGTGCTGTAAGCTTCCTGGCTGCCTTGTTTGCAAGATTTACAACATGGTTCTTCATGGTTAGTTTGGAGTCAAATTTCACCCAAGGATATCAACTTCTTCTCCAGGTGCCAACACCCTTCCATTCATCCTTACTACTGCACCAGCATTACCATCATGGTGCCTAGAGACGATCATCATTTGCGTTTTCTCAGGTGCAAATGTTACTTGCCATCTATTTCCCCAAGCTGATATAGCTCTCAGTTGTGATTGATGTAGCTTAGAGCAGCTGGCATTTCTTCTCTTGGATAAGTGAATGTCAGTGTACAGTCGTCTGCATATGCATGTGATTCTGGGATGAGATGAAGAAGGTCGTTGAAGTAGACGTTCCATAACAATGGACCCAGCACGCTTCCTTGTGGAACACTTGCCCCAATAGGACGTCTTGCTGATTCCGTTCCATTGAGAACTACACTTAGAGATCTACCATGAAGGTAATCACTGAGGAGACATAGCGTAGAGCCTGCAATTCCCAGTGCTTGAAGTTTTGCTAAGAGGCCCTGGTGCCACACCCGGTCGAAAGCGCCAGCAATGTCCAGTGCTACCACACAGCTGACTTTGGATTCATCCAGTGACTGGTGCCACTTAGTGGAGAGGTTTAACAACAGATCAGCAGCAGAGTACCTTTCCTGAAGCCATATTGACGATCACAAAGTAGTGAGTGGTAGTCAAAAAACTCTGTCATTTGTCTTGAGATTATTGTCTCAAGGATCTTACCAGTGATTGACAGGAGTGACACTGGTCTGTAGTTGCTGATTTCTGCTCTGCTCTTCTTTTTGTGAACAGGGACTACATTTGCCTCTTTCCATAGAGAGGGCCATTTACACTGTGCTAGGCAGTGCTGAAAGATGCGAGTTAGAGGTGCTGCTAGCTGGTCTCCACATCTTCTCAACAATCTTGGGCTCAACTTGTCTGGGCCCACAGCCTTTTCTTGGTCAAGCGATTTAAGAAGGAAATGCACCTCCTCCTGCCTTATTGTCACCACTGACAGTTTTGACACAGTTCTTGCAGCTAGCCAAGGAGGGTCCCTTGCTGGATCAGGAACTTGCATTTTGACTACTAGTAGAGGTGGTCCCATCCTGTCGATTTAGAGGTGGAATAAGTTCATCAGGCAGATAACCTTGTCTGTCCTTGACCAGGGACCACCAGGTTTTGGAGCCTACCCTACCTGATGCTAGCTTTCTTTTAGTGTCCACCTCCCATTTAGCAATGGCCCACTTTTGAACATCACCCATCTCTCTCTCTCTCTCTCTCTCTCTCTCTCTCTCTCTCTCATCCTCATGCAATGATGGAGAAGTTCTCTTCAGTGTGTCTAGAAGATTATTGTAATAATTTATTATTATTTTTATTATTATTATTATTAATATTATTATTATATTTTATTATTATTATTGACTAAATTACGCTATAAAATATCAGAAAGTACTGTAAACAGTAATATTCTTTCTTAATTTGGTTTGTGTGCTAATTGTTCCTCGTAGTACAAGTTGTGGTCGTCAAAAAAGTTTAATTTACTTTGAGCATGGGCCTACTGCTAGATTTTTTTCCTTCGATGTTCATAGCAAAATGATGTATAAGGGTAAGTTACATTTTGAGGTTTATCATTTAAGCTGGATGACTTCAGTTTCTCTAAACATTGTGACAGCGGGAACTTTGTGAACACCTGTGAGACACTGGGGAGGCACCCTTCCTGGCGAGGGAAAGAACCCTTCCTGGAAGGGGAAGGACTTCTTTCTAGTAAGGAAAGTAACCCTGAAAGGGAAAGAACCCTTCCTAGCTAGGGAAGGGATTCTACTTGGATGGGAGAACTTGGGACGGGATCCTAGTTGCTGACGACTAGGGGAGTCGTCAGCGACAAGCTGCGCCAATATTTTATTAAAAAATAATGATCTGGCAGCACTGTTTTGACAACCTGCACTCTACTCTAGGATTAGTGTTTTAGTTTTTCAGATTATTAGCATAAGTAGAATTCTAACATGCGTGGAAGTCCAAATACAGCATATTATCTTTGCCAAGTCATGTATGTATTTGTAATAATTAAATGGTGAGATCTTTTAAGTATATTCTCATATAATTTCTATATAAACGTTATTTAAGTTAGGTTAGCTTGTTTAGATTATCATTTATTCTTGTTAAGCATTTTGACGAGTACGACTTACGGTTTTAAAAGTAGAGAGTATGTTAAAATCGCAATTATCTATCCAGTGTAACTACTTAATAATGCTACTTACGTCTGGATGCAAGGCCCATGTGTTGACCCTGTTTTTTTTTTACCTAATTCGTATATGTATGTTGAAATTAGTGCTTATAATAAGTAAGCAACAGACTGACTTTGGAATGTGAGGCTTTGTCGGGGTATATTGGGAGTGTAAGCAAGACAGCGAGTAAACTCTACGGTCACTGCCACCCGCGTTTCACTATCTCTTCCCCGCAGCTTTTTCTGAAAGCTTCAACTGATGAAGCTTTTTTTATATAAGCACTTTGCTTGTTGTCCTTTAGTCTTCGTTATTGTCAAATGTTAAGAGGAAATATTGTAGCTGTAGTGTCAGTTTTTTTTTTTTTTTTAGATATTTGTGAAATGCTCTGGTGCTGTGTCACACCTAAGAATTTAGTGCTTTCCCGTTTAACAATGATAATAATAATAATAATTAATAATAGTAATAATTGATTGATCTCATTTTATGGTTTTTGGTCTCATGAAAAGATTTAGGTCGTATTTAAATCTTTTTGTGAACATGAGCAGCTATCAGGATATCATGCTGACATATAACAGTGACTGATATTCTGTATACATTTTCCTGTTACATTACAATAAAATTTTTGGCTTTATTTACTATAACATATCCCTTTGATGCCGGTGAGGGGTTTTTGATCCAAGGAGTTAGATTTAGCCTCCACTTCCTTGGATAAGTCTCAAATGACTTCCAGGTATGGTATCTCTCCCGTGTGGGTTTAGCGGTTCCCTTCATATGCAGCAAAAATGAAAAATACTGTAACATAAATTCTAAAAATTATTGGTTATGCATTGTTCTGTCTTATACTGCCTTCAAGGAGCAGGGATGCTTGCATGCTGGGATGAGATTTTAATCCGAGGAATCGGAGCTACCCTTCCCTTGGGTCAAACTTTATCAAACCTTCCATTCCCAAGGGCTGTATTACTCTTCGGTTCAGCATTTTCCCTTGGTAAACATGTTAATAATAATAGTAATAATCACAATAATAATAATAATAATAATAATAATAATAATGTCCTATACTGTACTAGATGATGGTTGATATAACTTATACTTGCTTTGTGTTGCAGCTAACGATGAACGACTTCAGTGTACACAGGATTATTGGTCGTGGTGGGTTTGGAGAAGTTTATGGGTGTCGGAAAGCAGACACTGGCAAGATGTATGCCATGAAATGTCTAGACAAAAAGAGAATAAAGATGAAGCAGGGTGAAACACTAGCACTCAATGAACGAATTATGTTGTCACTAGTCAGTACAGGGGTGAGTCACTCTTCTTTGAATACTCCTTTTTGCAAACTAATTTTTGTTATAAATACTGCATGCTTTTAATAACTTTAGATATTTTTAGATATGTATGCATGAAATTTTATATACTAATCTAAGTATTTCAACTGTCACATTACTATTAGATCTGAAAAACCAGGAAATCAACTCATTTGTAAGTTGCAGATATCCTTTACTTATACTTCGCTTCCCAATTATTTTGAACTGCATTTTTTTTAAGCAGTCATCTTCTATTTTTATACTACATACATCATCATTTGCTACAGTATATTATTCCCAGTCTAAAAATTAATATGTGACAAGCAGTACTAGTTAAGCAATAATTAATAAATATGTAACTGGGGTGGCATTTATTTCAGGTGGATTGCCCCTTCATTGTGTGTATGACGTACGCTTTTCACACACCAGACAAGCTGTGCTTTATCTTGGACCTCATGAATGGTGGTGATCTTCATTATCACTTATCACAACACGGTGTCTTCAATGAGCAGGAAATGAGATTTTATGCTGCAGAAGTTATATTAGGTAAAATTTGCTCTTAAAAAATCACATTCAGCATTTTATTGAAAAAATTTAATACAACATTGTCTTTTAACCATTTGAGTTACAGTTCTTTGTATCATAGGTACAATATCTTTTTTTTTCTCTGGAAATTTCTTTTTCTTGAGGTGTGGCATCTTGTAGAATCTTCTGTAGCCTTCTCAGTTACCACCAGATGCTGAAAACATTTGAAAACTAACTCTAAGATCAGAGGTAGGGTCATTGGTTCACAGCCAGAGATCTGGGTTTAACTTGAGGTGAAGTGATGTGTATGTGCACTTTCCAAATCATTTTGCTCCTGTACATATGGACCTCAGTGTTAGTCATTGTGCAGATTTGGGAAGAGACCCACAGATATCTTCCATTTATATATTATCAGGTCTCTCTCTCTTCTTCACTCCAGAGAATATATTCCAAGTAGTTTGAGGCATTCTCATTAGTTGAAATGCTTTCATAAACTTTGTCCATACTCCAGTAGAACAGGAAATTCATGAAACCACTTGTTTCCACTAAATGCGTTTTAACATGCTCACACATGCCCTTCCTGGGATGCCACACACTCTCTCTCTCTCTCTCTCTCTCTCTCTCTCTCTCTCTCTCTCTCTCTCTCTCTCCCCTGCTCTCTCCTCTCTCTCTTCTCTCCCCCATGCTTCTCTGCCACGCTCTCTTTCTCTCTCTCTTTCTCTCTCTCTTTCTCTCTCTCTCTCTCTCTCTCTCTCTCTCTCTCTCTCTCTCTCTCTCTCTCTCTCTCTCTCTCTCTCTTCTTTCTTCTCTTTTTTTCTTTCTTTCTTTCTTTCTTTTTTCTTTCTTTCTTTCTTTCTTTCTTTCTTCACCCCCCTCCCCAGCTTCTATTTATACATTTTCTTGATCAATCTATTCTCCACCATCTTTTCTAAATGACCAAACCATCTCATCAACCCTTACTCCATTCTTTGATTTATACCGTCATACTACCACACAGTCTTCCTAATTTATACACTCCTAATGCTCTGCATAATATTTTGCAAAATACAGTAAATTCATCTCAAACATGACATCTCTACTGCTTCCAGTCTCCTCTTCATGGCAACATTTACAGACCATAACTTACACCCATATGAAATGGTTGTTGGCACTGTACTCTTGTACATTCCTCTTTTTTTTTTTACTCCATTAATAGCCTTCTTTCTTTCTGCAGATCAGTCAACACTAGCTACATTTTTTTTCTTTTGTCTATTCTGTGATTCACCTCATCTTTAATAAGTTCATTTGGTGACACATCCTCTCCAAAATATTTGATTATTTTCACTTCCTTTCGCTTCTGAAGATCTCCGGAACTATTAACAAATTCATACTTCCACAAAAAGTACAATACAGTGGATTTTTCCTTAAAATAATGCATATGCATTTATAACATGGGAGTCTATAGGATAATGGGTTTCTGTCAGTGTAGTTTTACTTGTCAAAACTTTCCTCAGAAACAATCTTATTATTAATCAAGGGATTGTTGTATTGTATGTAGTATTTATAAGTTTTTAAAAATCATATTTGCTAAACTGTATCAAATTCAATATTTGAGCACAAAAAAACCCATAAGGGAAATTCCTTGATGTTGGTGAGGGGGCCTCTTAATCCAAGGAATTAGACCTGCCCTCCTTTTCCTTGGATCGAACCTTAATGCCTTCCATTCCCCAAGGCACTACATGGCCCATTTGGGTTTAGTGCTTCTCCATGAATGTAATAAAAATTAATGTATAAATTGAGAGTAAAAATAATTTACTTAATAATATAAAGGTACTTGGTTGAAATGGGAGCTGTATACTAAGTAATGAACAGTTTCTCAGTTGCTTATCTGTTTTTTGAAGCTCTTGAAAGTAAGCTTATAAATGTTTTACTTTACAGTTCCTATTATCATACAATGAATGTATTTGTATTATCAGTTGGTAACAAATAAAATTCTTATTTTATGTCTGTGCCATATAAGATATGCATGTATGATTAGTTCTCAAGGCAGTGATCTCTTACAGGGCTAGAACATATGCACCGACGATATATTGTGTATCGAGACCTTAAACCAGCTAACATACTCCTGGATGAGCATGGTCACGTCAGAATATCAGACTTAGGATTAGCATGTGACTTCTCCAAAAAGAAACCACATGCATCGGTGTAAGTAGCACATACAGTATCTTCCTATTTACTTACATCCAAAACTATCTTTGTTTTACTTCAAGATATTAATTTACTTCATACAGTGAGATATATAATAGAGGTATCAAAATGCTGAACATTTACAGTGCATGCAAAAATAATCTGGACCTCCCTTCTATTATTATGAAATCATTGAAAAGCATCAACATAAACATTATAGAACAAAAACTGTAATACTTAGTACTTTTTTTTTTTTTTAACAAGTCAGCCGTCTCCCACCGAGGCAGAGTGACCCAAAAAGAAAGAAAATCCCCAAAAACAAAATACTTTCATTATCAATCAACACTTTCACCTCACTCACACATAATCACTGTTTTTGCAGAGGTGCTCAGAACACAACAGTTTAGAAGCATATACGTATAAGGATACACAACATATCCCTCCAAACTGCTACTTATATTACTGGTACTTACATTAATATTTTGTCGTCTACCCCTTGGCCTTGATAACCATTTGAAGCTGTTTGGGCATACTTTTACTTGTATTCCTGAAGTAATCAATGAATGGATTCCTGCCATATTTCATCCATGTCACGCCTGCAGCAGTAGATCAAGGATATGTATTTGGGTCAACCAGTTACCCGTTGATTGCTTCAGGAATCTGAGTGAAAGCATAACCAAACACCTTCAAATGATTATCAAGGTCAAGAGGAAGATGATAAAATATTACTGTAAGTATCAAATATTACAGTTTTTGTTCTGTAATGCTCTGCAGTGCTCTGCATATAAAGGGGCTTTTGGCATGTACACCCAATTGTTATACTCCTTTGTACATACATGTATCATGCTAAAATAAAATTATTATTATTATTATTTTAATGATTTTTCATAATAATCAAAAGGAGGTCTGGATTATATTTTGCAGGCACTGTATGTTTAAATCTTTGAAGAATTTTTTATTTTTATTTAAAAATAAAATGCTATATATGTGTGTGTGTGTGTAAAGATTTAGGTCTAATTTTATTGAAAACTACAGTACCAAAATGAGTAAATAATTTTTTAACGTCTAGCTCTTGACATCACTCTCCATCTACAGCTTACCCGGGTAAGCTGCTCTGTGTCTTAATACACTTCCTGTAAAATAGAGTACAAATGCTCCACTAGAAATTTGGATCCAATGCAAACATCCTGTTTTCAGTTCCAGTATAATTCTTTAGGCCAGTTTTGTAGAACAGCAAAATACAAATGTTGCAGTACATGTACAATACTGTAGATATATATAGTACAATATTATAAAAATTGCCTGTTTCCTGTGCTAAATAAATAATTCAAAATTCATAATTTTACCAAACTACTATTTTTTTTTTCATTAACCCGGCCATATCCCACTGAGGCAGGGTGACCCAAAAAGAAAAACGAAAGTTTCTCTTTTTGGGTCACTGAAAAGAAAAATGAAAGTTTCTCTTGTTAACTTTAGTAATGTGTATAGGAGAAGGGGTTACTAGCCCCTGGCTCCTGGCATTTTAGTCAAGTCTTACGACATGCATGGCTTGTGGAGGAAGAATTCTGTTCCACTTCCCCATGGAGAGAAGTACTATTGCTGTTTTAGTTATTTCAAATAAGCAGTAGCCTGGGCCAGCAAGAATGTTCAACAACAATATATTTTAAGTTTACATATCCAGATCATTTGGATGTGAAAAGTGGGCTATAGTAAATGTATATGCACCTGGAGAAGAGAGAAGTGTAGAGGAGAGAGAGAGATTTTGGGAAATGTTGAGGGAATGCATGGGGAGTTTTGAACCAAGTGTGAGAGTAATGGTGGTTAGGGATTTCAATGCTAAAGTGGGCAAAAATGTTGTGGAGGGAGTAGTAGGTAAATTTTGGGTGCCAGGGGTAAATGAAAATGGGGAGCCTTTAATTGAGCTATGTGTAGAAAGAGGTTTGGTAATAAGTAATACATATTTTATGAAGAAGAGGATAAATAAATATACAAGGTATGATATAGCATGTAATGAAAGTAGTTTGTTAGATTATGTATTGGTGGATAAAAGGTTGATGGGTAGGCTCCAGGATGTACACGTTTATAGAGGGGCAACTGATATATCGGATCATTATTTAGTTGTAGCTACAGTTAGAGTAAGAGGTAGATGGGAAAAGAGGAAAATGGCAACAACAAGCAAGAGGGAGGTGAAAGTGTATAAACTAAGGGAGGAGGAAGTTCAGGTGAGATATAAGCAGCTATTGGCAGAAAGGTGGACTGGTGCAAGTATGAGTAGTGGGGGGGGGGGGGTTGAAGAGGGTTGGAATAGTTTTAAAAATGCAGTATTAGAATATGGGGCAGAAGTTTGTGGTTATAGGAGGGTGGGTGCAGGAGGAAAGAGGAGTAATTGGTGGAATGAAGAAGTAAAGGGTGTGATAAAAGAGAAAAAGTTAGCTTATGAGAGGTTTTTACAAAGCACAAGTGTTATAAGAATTGTAGAGTATATGGAGAGTAAAAGAAAGGTGAAGAGAGTGGTGAGAGAGTGCAAAAGGAGAGCAGATGATAGAGTGGGAGAGGCACTGTCAAGGAATTTTAATGAAAATAAGAAAACATTTTGGAGTGAGTTAAACAAGTTAAGAAAGCCTAGAGAACGAATGGATTTGTCAGTTAAAAACAGAACAGGGGAGTTAGTAGATGGGGAGATGGAGGTTTTGGGTAGATGGCGAGAATATTTTGAGGAACTTTTAAATGTCGACGAAGAAAGGGAAGCGGTAATTTCATGCACTGGCCAGGGAGGTATACCATCTTTTAGGAGTGAAGAAGAACAAGTGTGAGTGTGGGGGAGGTGTGTGAGGCTTTATGTAGAATGAAAGGGGGTAAAGCAGCTGGAACTGATGGGATCATGACAGAAATGTTAAAAGCAGGGGGAGGATATAGTGTTGGAGTGGTTGGTATTTTTGTTTAATAAATGTATGAAAGAGGGGAAGGTACCTAGGGATTGGCAGAGAGCATGTATAGTCCCTTTATATAATGGGAAGGGGACAAAAGAGATTGTAAAAATTATAGAGGAATAAGTTTACTGAGTATACCAGGAAAAGTGTACTGTAGGGTTATAATTGAAAGAATTAGAGGTAAGACAGAATGTAGGATTGCGGATGAGCAAGGAGGTTTCAGAGCGGGTAGGGGATGTGTAGATCAAATGTTTACATTGAAGCATATATGTGAACAGTATTTAGATAAAGGTAGGGAAGTTTTTATTGCATTTATGGATTTAGAAAAGGCATATGATAGAGTGGATAGGGGAGCAATGTGGCAGATGTTGCAAGTATATGGAATAGGTTGTAAGTTACTAAATGCTGTAAAGAGTTTTTATGAGGATAGTGAGGCTCAGGTTAGGGTGTGTAGAAGAGAGGGAGACTACTTCCCAGTAAAAGTAGGTCTTAGACAGGGATGTGTAATGTCACCGTGGTTGTTTAACCCTTTCAGGGTCCGTCCCGTAGATCTACGGCTTTACATTCAGGGTCGAAACCGTAGATCTACGCCATGAGCTCAGCTCACTCTGATAAGCTGTGAGTGGTAAATTTGGGCCTAGATATAAGATATTACATCTATGTGGTATGTGTGCACCACATAAAACAAATCCTGCAGCACACAGTGTATAATGAGAGAAAAAAAACTGAGACCATGATTTTCGATTAAAACAATTACTTTGCAGTGTTTTTTCGTATGTTTGTTATAGTTGTATTTGCTATTTCTTGGTCTCATTTGATAGAATGGAAGACATATTACAGAAATAGAGATGATTTTTATTGGTTTTAGCACTGGAAATGGCTTGAAACTGAACTCAAAGTAGCGGAAATGCTACATTTTTGCCGATGTTCAAGAGTAAACAAACGACCTCACACGTCTAATACATGCCAGCTGGTGGGTCTAATATACATTCACAAATGTGGTGATGATATTTATACAATTATTACAATATTGCATAACAGTAAATCTTCTATTTTTTGGTTTGAATAAAAATTCATTATGTGAATAAAAAATCAAAATGGAATTCATTTGTAAAGCCTCAAAATGTAACTAATGAACAGAGGAAATGTTAGTTTAGTGCCAGGAATACCTACAGTGTTTATTCTGGACCCTATTTTGAAATTGGAATATTTTGAACTTTGTGTTAAATTGGCCAAATTACCAATTTCCGATCACTTTATTTTGTAGTTGAAACAGTTGATTTGGCGATTTCTTGTGCTCAATCGATAGAATAGAAGTAGTACTAGTGAAATAGCTAAGAATTTGGTCAACTGGAATAAAGTAATTGGCCTAAAATGGGAGTCAAAGTCGGCAAAATCGCCAATTCGTAAATATCACTGACACATCAAAATTCGCAAGAGCATAATTTCGTCAGTTTTCCATCATATTTCATACTTTTTGTTTTATTACCTTCAGAAAAAGATTCTCTTCCATTTCATAAGAAAAAATAAAAAAAAATTCTTTTTAAATTCGTGGACCCTGGTGTGCACTTTGAAATTTGGCCTCTGGACCCTGAAAGGGTTAATATATTTATAGATGGGGTTGTAAAGGAAGTAAATGCTAGGGTGTTCAGGAGAGGGGTGGGATTAAATTATGGGGAATTAAATTCAAAATGGGAATTGACGCAGTTGCTTTTTGGTGATGATACTGTGCTTATGGGAGATTCTAAAGAAAAATTGCAAAGGTTAGTGGATGAGTTTGGGAGTGTGTGTAAAGGTAGAAAGTTGAAAGTGAACATAGAGAAGAGTAAGGTGATGAGGGTATCAAATGATTTAGATAAAGAAAAAATGGATATTAAATTGGGGAGGAGGAGTATGGAAGAAGTAAATGTTTTCAGATACTTGGAAGTTGACGTGTCGGCAGATGGATTTATGAAGGATGAGGTTACTCATAGAATTGATAAGGGAAAAAAGGTGAGTGGTGTGTTGAGTTATATGTGGAGACAAAAAACGTTATCTATGGAGGCAAAGAAGGGAAAGAATGAAAGTATAGTAGTACCAACACTCTTATATGGGTGTGAAGCTTGGGTTGTGAATGCAGCAGCGAGGAGGCGGTTGGAGGCAGTGGAGATATCCTGTGTAAGGGCAATGTGTGGTGTAAATATTATGCAGAAAATTCGGAGTGTGGAAATTAGGAGAAGGTGTGGAGTTAATAAAAGTATTAGTCAGAGGGCTGAAGAGGGGTTGTTGTGGTGGTTTGGTCATTTAGAGAGAATGGATCAAAGTAGAATGACATGGAGAGCATATAAATCTTTAGGGGAAGGAAGGTGGGGGAGGGGTCGTCCTCGAAAAGGTTGGAAGGAAGGGGTAAGGGAGGTTTTGTGGGCAAGGGGCTTGGACTTCCAGCAGGCGTGCATGAGAGTGTTCAATAGGAGTGAATGGAGACAAATGGTATTTGGGACCTGACGATCTGTTGGAGTGTGAGCAGGGTAATATTTAGTGAAGGGATTCAGGGAAACCGGTTATTTTTATGTAGCCGGACTTGAGTCCTGGAAATGGGAATTACAATGCCTGCACTCTAAAGGAGGGGTTCGGGATATTAGCAGTTTGGAGGGATATGTTGTGTATCTTTATAGGTATATGCTTCTAAGCTGTTGTGTTCTGAGCACCTCTGCAAAAACAATGATTATGTGTGAGTGAGGTGAAAGTGTTGAATGATGAAAGTATTTTCTTTTTGGGGATTTTCTTTCTTTTTGGGTCACCCTGCCTCGGTGGGAGATGGCCGACTTGTTTAAAAAAAAAAAAAATTGAAGTTATGGCAACATTTTCTTCCCAAACAGTTTGTGAAATCTTTCTAAGTTCGTAACATAAAAGCTGATTATATATTTTTCCTTTCAGTCTGTATAATCAGGGTTATTCCAAGCTTTATAATGTCAACCCCTAATTTATTTTATTATTAATTCTGCTTTAAATACTACACATATATATTATATAATCAGTTGTATTCTTCATACCCAGTTGTAATATACTCGTTTAGTTGCTGTAGATCTAACGATGTATGTTTTTGGAAATAAATATGTAATTTATTATTTAAAATGTTTTCTAAAAGAAAAAGTGTGGAACTTAGATAAGTAAAAGTTATATTTATTCATCCCAGGGTTTATAATGAATCTGCAAGACTTTTAAAGGTGTTAATATTTTCCTCATTTATGAAATGAAGAAAGTATTGATATCTGAATTAAAAAAATGTATGGTCATAAGCATGACTTGCTCCATTAGTAGAATATTGAGTCAGTATATTTTTTATTCATTTGGATAAATAAATAATAAAATCCAGAAATTTTGAAAATCGCAACATAATTTGTTGTGATCACTATAAAACAAAATAGGCTGTTTTAAGTGGAGTGTCAAATTTATCATTTTGTTTCTTAAAAAAAATCTTAAATGGTTATCTTACTGCCTGTCATTTTTTTTTCCCACTGATTTTTTTAATATAAGATAAATTTAAAGAATGTTACATTTACTTTTCCCTTCCATTTTCAGAGGGACTCATGGTTATATGGCGCCTGAAGTGCTTAGTAAAGGAACTGCTTATGATAGTTCAGCGGACTGGTTCTCCTTTGGTTGTATGTTGTATAAGTTGCTCAAAGGCCACTCCCCGTTCAGGCAACACAAAACTCGAGACAAACATGAAATTGACCGTATGACTTTAACAATGGTGAGTTATGATAATAGTGTTATATTATTATATTCATAACAAGGTACTAAACTGTGTTGTAAATTTCCTCTTAGTAATTAACTACTTGTAGTTACATGAGCAGATGTAAGCTCCTGGTGTCCTGTCATAAGTATTTAATTTATCATATAATATTTTTAAATTTCCAATGGTTGTAGCACTTGCTACATCCTCTTGTAAATCATATTTTTGTTCTACTAGTTTCAAATGAAAACATTTCTGGTATCCTTTCAGTGGCTCCTCTTCCTTAGTCTATAGTTATGGCCTTCTGTTTTGCCAGATTATGGCTTTAAAACTCTTCCTTGTCAGTTCTTTCATCATTTATTTTCACTACATTGACCAAAGAAGAAATACATTGGCTATCATTTATTCAGTAAAAGATTTGTCAGAAGTGCACAGACATCAAATTCAAATTATCTTTTTTTTTTTTTCAACAAGTTGGCCGTCTCCCACCGAGGCAGGGTGACCCAAAAAGAATGAAAATCCCCAAAAAGAAAATACTTTCATCATCATTCAACACTTTCACCTCACTCACACATAATCACTGTTTTTGCAGAGGTGCTCAATACAACAGTTTTGAAGTATATACGTATAAAGATACACAACATATCCCTCCAAACTGCCAATATCCTAAACCTCTCCTTTAAAGTGCAAGCATTGTACTTCCCATTTCCAGGACTCAAGTACGGCTTATAAAATAACCTGTTTCCCTGAATCCCCTCACTAAATATTACCCAGCTCGCACTCCAACAGCTCGTCAGGTCCCAAATACTATTCATCTCCATTCACTCCTATCTAACACACTCACGCACGCTTGCTGGAAGTCCAACCCCCTCGCCCACAAAATCTCCTTTACCCCCCCTCCAACCTTTTTGAGGACGACCCCTACCCCGCCTTCCTTCCCCTACAGATTTATACGCTCTCCATGTCATTCTCCTTTGATCCATTTTCTCTAAATGATCAAACCATCTCAACAACCCCTCTTCACCCCTCTGACTAATACTTTTATTAACTCCACACCTTCTCCTAATTTCCACACTCAGAATTTTCTGCATAATATTTACACCTCACATTGCCCTTAGACAGGACATCTCCACTGCCTCCAACCACCTCCTCGCTGCAGCATTTACAACCCAAGCTTCACACCCATATAAGAGTGTTGGTACTACTATACTTTCATACATTCCCTTCTTTGCCTCCATAGATAACATTTTTTGCCTCCACAAATACCTCAATGCACCACTCACCTTTTTTCCTTCATCAATTCTATGATTAACTTCATCCTTCATAAATCCATCCGCTGACACATCAACTCCCAAATATCTGAAAACATTGACTCTTCCATACTCCTCCCCAATTTGATATCCAGTTTTTCTTTATCTAAATCATTTGATACCCTCATCACCTTACTCTTCTCTATGTTCACTTTCAACTTTCTACCTTTACACACACTTCCAAATTCATCCACTAACCTTTGCAATTTTTCTTTAGAATCTCCCATAAGCACAGTATCATCAGCAAAAAGTAACTGTATCACTTCCCATTTTCTATTTAATTCCCCATAATTTAATACCACTCCTCTCCCGAACACCCTAGCATTTACTTCTTTTACAACCCCATCTATAAATATATTAAACAACCCTGTCTAAAACCTACTTTTACCGGGAAGTAGTCTCTCTCTCTTCTACACACCCTAACCTGAGCCTCACTATCCTCATAAAAACTCTTTACAGCATTTAGTAACTTACCACCTATTCCATATACTTGCAACATCTGCCACATTGCTCCCCTATCCACTCTATCATATGCCTTTTCTAAATCCATAAATGCAATAAAAACTTCCCTACCTTTATCTAAATACTGTTCACATATATGCTTCAATGTAAGCACTTGATCTACACATCCCCTACCCACTCTAAAACCTCCTTGCTCATCCGCAATTCTATATTCTGTCTTACCTCTAATTCTTTCAATAATAAACCATACCACGGACGAGGATAGAACCTGCGATCAGAGAGTCACATCTTTAAATAATAACCCTTTAAATAATAACTCTTTAAATAATACACTTTTCCTGGTATACTCAGTAAACTTATTCCTCTATAATTTTTACAATCTCTTTTGTCCCCCTTCCCTTTATATAAAGGGACTATACACACTCTCTGCCAATCCCTAGGTACCTTCCCCTCTTTCATACATTTATTAAACAAAAATACCAACCACTCCAACACTTGGCCCCCCCCTGCTTTTAACATTTCTGTCATGATCCCGTCAGTTCCAGCTGCTTTAATTCCTTTCATTCTGTGTAATGCCTCACGCGCTTCCCCCACACTCACATCCTGCTCTTCTTCACTCCTAAAAGATGGTATACCTCCCTTGCCAGTGCATGAAATTACCGCCTCCCTTTCTTCGTCGATATTTTAAAGTTCCTCAAAATATTCTCGCCATCTACCCAATACCTCCATCTCCCCATCTACTAATTCCCCTACTCTGTTTTTAACTGACAAATCCATTTGTTCCCTAGGCTTTCTTAACTTGTTTAACTCCAAAATTTTTTCTTATTTTCATTAAAATTTCTTGACAGTGCCTCTCCCACTCTTTCATCTGCTCTCCTTTTGCACTCTCTCACCACTCTCTTCATCTTTCTTTTACTCTCCATATACTCTACTCTTCTTATAACACTTCTGCTTTGTAAAAATCTCATAAGCTACCTTTTTCTCTTTTATCACACCCTTTACTTCATCATTCCACCAATCACTCTGTTTTCCTCCTGCACCCACCCTCCTATAACCACAAACTTCTGCCTCACTCATCCTTCAAAGTGCAGGCATTGCATGTCCCACCTCCAAGACTTAATTTCAGCAAACTAGTTTTTCCTGAATCCTTTCACAAATGTTAACTTGCCCACGTGAATGCTAAAACTACTTGTCTTCACTTGCATATGCATGCTAGATGCTCAAGTTCTTTCCATCAAAACATCCTTTACTCTTTCATTTTAACCGTTTTGAGGATGCCCACTACTCCTCCTTTTCCCCCTTCCTGCATTTTCACATTTTTTTTGTCATCCTATCCTTCTGCATCCTTTCTAAATGACCAAACCATTTCAACACCTGAGTTACAGTCTGTGCAGAAAGTTATGATGCCATTGAATTGGTGTCATAATTTTTTTCATAATTCATTTCTTATACTTATGTTGGTCTTGTGGGATATGAAATATTATAATGTTCATCAGGCCAAGCTGTATAAACACTGGCAATATGGCATAAATCACAAGATTCACCCAGTAACCTTGTCACTAACCCCTCTCTTGTGACCAACAATAATGTCATGGAGCAGTGCAAAGGAGGATATATTGGCTGTAATTGCCCTGCAAAAGAGCAGACATGATACACTATATCTTCTCAGATGGGACTGAAACGGCATTCAGTGCAATCTCAACTAATATTTTCTGGTCCTAAATTAAACTCTCCAAGGACTGAAAATGATGGCTCATCAAGTAAAGGCAAAGCCTTCCATCACAGCATGGGAAGTAAAGGAGAAAAATCCTTGGTTATTGGAGCATGTGTCCCTCAGGTGTCTTCATCAGTGACTCCATGATGACTTGGGATTCAGAAACTTTCATGAATGCAGTAAATCTCTTCTTAGAGGAGGAGGAAAAGTTTTGCAAGAAATACTGTAGGTGAGGTATGGAGGAATGGAGAGGTGTTTTTGTGTTAAGATGAATCGAGCTTTACAGTGACCACTAGTAGTGGAAGGAGGGTGTACCAGTTGCCTCATTCTGACCCACACCTCTCACAGTACACTGCCAAGACTGTGAAACACCTGCATCCCTTATGCTTCCCAAAAATGTCATAATGAATCAGAACAATTAGTTGGAGATTTTACTGGATTATTTATTAGATTCTTTTGAAAAAGCCGAAGCAACACTGTTTATGCAAAACAGTGCTCCTTGCCACACTGTAAAAAGTGTCAAAAAGTGGTTAGGTGATTGTGAAGTACCCTATTTTAGTGAATGGCCAGTAAAAACTTAAACCCATAGAAAATTTGTGACCATTTATGACATGTTGACTAAGGGACTATGACACTTCATCCATCCTAAAGCTAGAGGCAGCTGTTTAAGACACCTGGGTTTCATTCGCAGCTATCACTATTCAGAGTTTATCTGACAGTGTTCCTTGAAGGTTTGAGGGCTGCTTGATGTGTAAGGGGAGTTCAACCAAGTATTAACTTCAGTGGTAAATCTTATATTACTTCATTTCCATAACCTTACTGTAAATTTTGTTTTAGCCAACATCATAACTTTCCATATAGACTGTATACCTTCTAATTTCTATGTTCCTTATTCTTAGCATAATATTCACACCACACTCTTCTCAAATATAACATAACCACTATGTTCAGCTTTCTTCTTGCTACAATGTTTCAAGCCCATACTTCACACCCATACCACACTTTGGTACATTTCTCTCTTTTGTCTTCATTTTTTGTTTTTGTCTACTCCATGTGTGTTTGTGTGCATGTGTATGCATGCATACATGTGTCTGCATGTTTTTGTTTGTTTGGTGTTGTGATCCTAAGGGCAACTATGGAAGGAAGATATCCTGTTTTTTGTGCTTGAGATGTGGATTCCACTCTAATGGTGTGAATTCCACTACACCAGTGTCTCACATTTATGCTATACTGTATACAATATTATACTCTTTTATTTTTTTGTGGTTATGAAAAACATTCTTACATTTGCTTGTTGCATATGTTTTTGGTCTACACTTTTTTTTTAAATAATTCTGTGCAAATTGACATTTAATGGCAGAAATAATTAACTTTAAATTTTACTGTAGGATAGGCAATTCTTTATGTAGCCTACCATTTCTGACTTTAGAGTAAATTCCATTTTTTGTTACACAGATGTAAATTATTAAAACTTCATCATATGCTGGTAAAACATCCTTTACAGAACGTTGAGCTTCCTGATACATTTACTCAAGAACTTCGGAGTCTTTTAGAAGGCCTACTACATAGAGATGTTGACAAAAGACTGGGCTGCAAAGGAAGAGGGTAAGAAACACCTTAGTACAGTATAAGTTTCTAGTTTAGGCATGGTACTTAGATTTTCTTTTTTAAGGCTCACATTTCTGTGTAGGAAAGAGGGAAATTATTTCCCAATAAAAGTAGGCCTTAGACAAGGATGTGTGATGTCGCCGTGGTTGTTTAATATATTTATAGATGGGGTTGTAAGAGAAGTAAATGCGAGGGTCTTGGCAAGAGGCGTGGAGTTAAAAGATAAAGAATCACACATAAAGTGGGAGTTGTCACAGTTGCTCTTTGCTGATGACACTGTGCTCTTGGGAGATTCTGAAGAGAAGCTGCAGAGATTGGTGGATGCATTTGGTAGGGTGTGCAAAAGAAGAAAATTAAAAGTGAATACAGGAAAGAGTAAGGTAATGAGGATAACAAAAAGATTAGGTGATGAAAGATTGGATATCAGATTGGAGGGAGAGAGTATGGAGGAGGTGAATGTATTCAGATATTTGGGAGTGGACGTGTCAGCGGATGGGTCTATGAAAGATGAGGCGAATCATAGAATTGATGAGGGAAAAAGGGTGAGTGGTGCACTTAGGAGTCTGTGGAGACAAAGGACTTTGTCCTTGGAGGCAAAGAGGGGAATGTATGAGAGTATAGTTTTACCAATGCTCTTATATGGGTGTGAAGCATGGGTGATGAATGTTGCAGCGAGGAGAAGGCTGGAGGCAGTGGAGATGTCATATCTGAGGGCAATGTGTGGTGTGAATATAATGCAGAGAATTCGTAGTTTGGAAGTTAGGAGGAGGTGCGGGATTACCAAAACTGTTGTCCAGAGGGCTGAGGAAGGGTTGTTGAGGTGGTTCGGACATGTAGGGAGAATGGAGCGAAACAGAGTGACTTCAAGAGTGTATCAGTCTGTAGTGGAAGGAAGGCGGGGTAGGGGTCGGCCTAGGAAAGGTTGGAGGGAGGGGGTAAAGGAGGTTTTGTGTGCGAGTGGCTTGGACTTCCAGCAGGCATGCGTGAGCGTGTTTGATAGGAGCGAATGGAGACAAATGGTTTTTAATACTTGACGTGCTGTTGGAGTGTGAGCAAAGTAACATTTATGAAGGGGTTCAGGGAAACCGGCAGGCTGGACTTGAGTCCTGGAGATGGGAAGTACAGTGCCTGCACTCTGAAGGAGGGGTGTTAATGTTGCAGTTTAAAAACTGTAGTGTAAAGCACCCTTCTGGCAAGACAGTGATGGAGTGAATGATGGTGAAAGTTTTTCTTTTTCGGGCCACCCTGCCTTGGTGGGAATCGGCCAGTGTGTTAATAAAATAATAAATAATATTTCTGTGTTAGGGTACGGGTGAGCTACTAGGAGTACAATTCCTTCCAGCAATACCTCTCTGTTCACTAATATAGACTTTCCTGCCAGATTTACCTCACTATGTCTTCTGCTTACTTTTTCACTCTTCTTGATTCCTATTTTTAATATGACTGGATTCACTCAGACCTCAGCATACCAGCAGCTAACACCTCTTTCTGTTTGCTTTTCACTTGGATGGCTCTAAGGCAAGTGACACTTTCTCAGCCACCAGGTGAATCTGCTCCTTAGCAAAATCTGTGGTAGACTTTCCTGCTCCACAAAGCTGAAGGAATGCAGTAAATATCCATTATACTTGGTACACACTGTGTGATGATTAGAGGATATGCTCAGAGTGCAGATAAGCTGCTGGAGATAATTTTTGCTTAGAGAAAGAGTCTTTCGATAATAGGATTGTCACGCAGTGTTTACATTCTTCAGCACAAAGTTATTTATTCAAAATGACCATGTGCCCCTCTTTTTGATGTTTTAGACTCTAGGAAGAGAGCAGGAACATTCTTTGCATTCATTCCCATGGATTCCCAACAACTCTCCATGTTCATGGTTCGCTTGGGGGATAGGGTGATGCCTGGCAGAATGGTGTACTGTTCTCCTCATTCTGAAGTCTGGGTGGCTCTCTTGTTCAGGTAATTGCCTAATAAGCAACAGGCAGTGCTGATGTCTCAGTAGACAAAATTAAGACTCTGTGAGAAACCTTCATACATCTGCTCTGTGCTCTTTTGAGTCATTTGAACAAGCAAGTGATTTGGAAATGTTCAGGCCCTTTCCACTTCTGTCATTTATTGCTAGAATGGTTTACAAGAAGGAGTTCTAGGTGCTACAACCACTAGAAACTTACAAAAAGCTTCTTAAATGACTAAATATTGAAGATGGTACACCATAAGCTTAGTCCTTCTGTTTTAGTTACAAATAGGTAATCACAGAATATTATATTTTGAAGCATGAAAAACTGCTTTGTATGAAGGGCTATGTGAATGAAGGAGACAGCCATTCTGCTTGTTTGATTGGATGTAGGTAGCCACTGGCTGGCTGAAATAACTGAAGTCCATATAATTGGTTAGAGAGGTGTTAATCAGGATGGGGAAGGAGGTTGTATTCCTAGTGACTCATTAAAGCTTCCCAAAGTTCTTGCTTCACTGACACTACACAAGGGTTTGTTCTACTCATCTACAACTCTACTGCCAAACCAGTACAACCTCAATGGAAATACAGGGACCCCAGTGGAAATACAAGGACCCCAATGGAAATACAAGCACCCCAATGGAAATACAAGAGCCCCAGTGGAAAGACAAGGACTAGAGCAACTCTGCATTGAGCTTTATTATGACATTGACTTTGTGATCAGCTTTCTTGTGGCAGTGTGATATGTTAAGTTTTTCATTCTTTAATACATAGTATTATATTTGTTATATGACAGTAACCTTATTTACACTGATAAATATTTTAACCACACTTAAAATCCTGGCTACCTGATCAATGTATTTTAAATTGTGTTAGTGGTTTAAATAAGAGATTGAAATGAAATTAGAATTGTATAAGATAGTAGTAATATGGAACATGAGTAAAAAGTACACAAGATTAATGGATCATGGCACACAGTCATGATGGGTTGACATCAACTTAGTTACAAGAATAGGGTTATAAAGTAATTTAGGTTGACTTTATGATGTAATTGGAATTAAAATGAGGAGTGGAAATAAGAAGAATAAATTAATATTTGAATAATAGGTTATTTTGTTTTCTTTTTTATTTTGATTATTGTAAAGATGTATGATGTGTGATGTGCATGAAAATTAAATCCAGGATAAATCAGAATGATGCCTCAGGAGTTCAAGAGGAGCATATCAGTGAATTTAAAAAAAAAAAAAAAATTTTGATGAGCCTTGATCAGTGGTCACTAACCTTTTACCAGTGATGAGCTGAACCATCAAATGGCAATCAAAGCATGCAAAATGATAACCAAATACAGTAGACTGCCATAATTCTGATCACTCATCAGGTGAGCACTATTATTTTCAGCTCATTTTGCTATGATTTCATGGTATATTTTGCATATTTCTGTTAATATTAAATTTGCCATACACTTTATTGGCTGTGTGTGTATAAAGTGCATCACTTATGATCTCTAAACTGCAATATTGCTGCACACTAACAGCTTTCAAGGCAGGCAGAATTGCAGAGTGGGAAGTTTTACAGAGAACCTTCATTACCCATACAAATTCAGTCAAGCACCTAAAATATTGGGGATGCCTGAAGTCCCTTGACATATACTTCCTGGAATGTAAGCAAGAGGGATACTCTATAATTTGTGCCTTGAAAATTCTGGTCTCAAATCTGCACGCAAAAGTTGTTCTCTATGAAAGCAAGAGATTCAGCAGACAGTGCAAAATACCTCCAATGGAAAGCAGAGGCACAATACATGTAAAGTGTAAAGGGACCAATATTTTTCAACACCCTCCCTTTATTCCTTAAGGAATTTACCAGCAGACCCTTAGCTGTCTTCAAGATGGAACTGGATAAGTTCCTCAAGTTAGTTCTTATCAGCCAGGCTGTGGTGTCTACATTGGGGTATGTGGCTACCACCTACAGCCGAGATGATCAAACCATCAAGCAAGAGGTCTGGTCTGGGACTGGGTTGTGGAATCAGTGATCCCCATAATTGTCTTCAGGAAACTGCAGCTGACCTACTATACATGTACAGTGGACCCCCGGTTAACGATATTTTTTCACTCCAGAAGTATGTTCAGGTGCCAGTACTTACCGAATTTGTTCCCATAAGAAATATTGTGAAGTAGATTAGTCCATTTCAGACCCCTAAACATACATGTACAAATGCACTTACATAAATACACTTACATAATTGGTCGCATTTGGAGGTAATCGTTATGCGGGGGTCCACTGTATTATTCTTGTTTCTTGTGGTACATGAATTCTTCAAGCACAGTAGAAGATGTTCAAATTCTTTGGCTGCCTGGTCAAAAGTGCAGTTTATGAGGCCAAGGGATTGTACTGAGTAGTTTGGATTTGCAACTTAGATGGCTAAAGGGTTTTAATTAATTAACTGGTTTATCATCACCAGTGTTCTCAAGATGCATGACTGCATCACTAAGCATTCTGTGTAGAAGAACAGCTTTTTCACAGTCAACTCATTTTATGTCAGTTTACTCAGTTGAACCAGGAATCATTTCACAGAGGTCTTTGGTACACTATATGTCAAAATATTTTGCACATGAGCCTTCCTCATTTCAAGAAGGAAGCCTTCAGAATCACACTCGCTGTCTGACTCATCATCATATGCCATGTGTCCTGTAGTGTAAATTGAGTGACTCATCTCATGACTACACCATTATAAGGCCATATTTTAATAATGTTCTTCTTTTGAATATCTGGATTATGTACTGCTAGTGCCACCAGCCTGCCTGATCAGGCCCTCTACCAGAAGGCCTGATCTGGGAGTGGGGTGTAGGGGTAATGAGCTCCAGAATCTACAACAGGTAACCTGGATGAAGAAGTAGTCCAAAGGAGCATTACTTAAATGCATTTGAAGTGAACTGCTTAATGGATTGAGGACTTATGGTCATGCTGGGGGCATTGGAATTTTTTTTTTAACACCTTGGCTGTTTCCCACCAAGGGAGGGTGACCCAAAAAGAAAGAAAAACCCAAAAAGAAAGAAAACACTTTCATCATCATTCAACACTTTCACCATCACTCATATATAATCACTGTCTTTGCAGAGGCGCTCAGATATGACAGTTTAGACGTCCCTCCAAACTGCTAATATCCTAAATCCCTCCTTTAAAATGCAGGCATTATACTTCCCATTTCCAAGACTCGAGTCCGGCTAATCGGTTTCTCAGAATCCCTTCACAAAATATTACCCTGCTCACACTCCAACACCAATATTACACTCTTCTTCACCATTGTCAATCAGTTGCTTCACCTTAACCACACCAGAATGTTATATAAAGTTGAACTCTAGTATCTCTTATGTAATGTATTGTCCTGCCTTTTTGGGCACTATGTTCACTGTATCTTACAGCCTCTTGAGGAATCTATTGCTGTGGAGAATGTACTGCTGCTTGTGTCTTATATGGGCAAGGAACTGTCACATATTTAATATCATTGTTTTGGGGCCACAACATGCCTATATCTTTTTTGTTTCTGTATGTGTAGCCTAACACCATTGTCTTAGAAGTGCCTACACTGTACATGTATTACTATTTCTGTTTGTCTCCAGGCTCAATACTTCAGCATGAAACAGTCAGAGATGTGCTGCAAAGTATTCTCTGGTGTGTTCCTGTCAGGCTGTCACAGCTTTGCATAGATACAACACCCCCTAATATAAAATCTCAAACAACACTGTCCATTGTCATGATAAAATAATACTCTCAGCTAAGCTTTAAACAGTGTGAACACATAAGCACTTTGTTCATTGCGTTGACTTTAGTGGAAAGTATATTAAATGTACTGTATACTGAATTGAATTAAAGCAGAAGTTTGTAAGATTTACTTGTCATCTTACTCATTTATGAGATAAAAAGATAAACCAGCAATCCTTGTCTTTGTATGTAAAATTTTTAACAAGCTTTTGTTTTACACTCATTTAATGTTGCAGTACCTTCCTGGGTGGTTACTGTCTACCATCCAACTAGCTGTCTACATTGTTAAAATGAAGAAGATAATGTTATGGAATAACATTATTAACTGCTTTTTTTGGCTATTTTTTTAACATTATTCCGATTTAATGGACATTCCGACAATCTCTGTTAGTCCGTTTAGTTAGGTTTACTATGAAATTGCAATTAATTATTTCCTTAAGATATTTGCTTTTTCTTTATTTACATTTACATTTTCTCAGGGCTGATGAGGTTAAGGAGCATCCATTCTTTGGTGGTCTTGATTGGCAACAGGTGTATCTGCAGAAGTACCAGCCACCTCTAATACCACCTCGAGGAGAGGTTAATGCAGCAGATGCATTTGACATTGGCTCCTTTGATGAAGAGGATACAAAGGGCATTAAAGTAAGAACATTACAGTTATATTAGAAGTTAACTTTTTTTCAGGTTTGTTACTTGGTTTTGGTGTTAATTTCAGTGTCTCAGTGAATTTTTTCCAGGGTGCATAGAAACAAATTCCACACAATTCTTTCTTAGTATATCTCTGTAGAAGTCTCATACTCTGAATAATTTTATTATTTAGAATTTTCCATGAAATGTTGGTTCTCTTCTTTAAATTCAAATAGTATGTGTTATTCCCTAAAGTAGATGTTATTTACCATAATGCTGTTTTCTCCAGCCTCTGATGATTACTCCTATTTAAGCATTCTCTTTTCCTTTGGTGTATTTTCCACTAGAATTCTTTTGTTTTGTATCTGCTCTATTAAAAAAATGTGCTGCTTTATTTTATGCAGAGGTACACACAAGTATTTTGGTAAGTCACATAGGTTATATTGGTTAGAGAAGAAAGACAGATATACCATGCAGTATATTAAGACTTAAATCAGGTATATGGAGGTAGCTATGGCATCCCTGTATTAGTCGTTTTTTAACAAATTGTATTTTAGGATTAAATAGTACGAAAACCAGAATGTAACTATGAAAGGATGCCTGAAAAATATTAACAAGTTGCTAATGTATGGCATGAGGAGGTATACACTTTTAGTCTGATTAAGCAGTGTTTTCCAGTCTTGTTTACCATCTAAATGTTTATTATAATCATGAAATATTCAGTATTTTTTTTTCCTCACAGGTATGTGAGGAAAAAATTTTCCCTATGCATTCATGAATATCTTCGTCTTCTTTCAACAGACCGGCGTTATCCCACCAAAGCGAGGTGGCCCAAAAAGAAAAACAAAAATTTTTCTTTTCAACTTTAGTAATGTATACAGGATAAGGGGTTACTAGCCCCTTGCTCTAGGCATTTTAGTAGCTTCTTACGACACGCATGGCTTATGGAGGAAGAATTCTGTTCCACTTTCCCATGGAGATTCATAAATATATTTTATGAATTAATATTGTATAGAATATACATTTTTTTTATGTGTATAGAATACATTTTTTTTTATTTTGTACTAAAACCAACTTAGCAGTCTCACCTAACTTTCCTAAAATTTATGTAATATAATCTGGCTTACAGTAATACTTCCCAAACTTTCTTAGGTCACTTTAAATTTGCTTAGTATTCTTTAACATTGATGAAATATTTCATCTTATGATGCTTTGTTTGATTTTTCATGGAATTGTTGTTACAATAAATGTGTATCAGACTTGTTTGGTAAAACATTTATTTTTTGTTTGGAAGAATGAAAGAAATAAAGCCTGAAACATTGTACAAGACAAACTTAAATAATTCACCAGAGCAGAATTTTCATGTTCAAGACTTGGGAGTGATGATATAAGATGATAGGCTGGATAACTAGAATGCTCAAGACGAGATGTTGAGTTAATAATGACGATAATGATACTCTTCAAGTCTTCCAGGGGAAACTTGATAAGTTCTTCAGTATAGTTCCTGACCAGCCAGGACTGCATGCAGTCAGTAATAATAGCGTGATTCATAAAGCTTTCATCACCAGGAAGCCTTCAGAGACATAGATCCCTGAAAATTCCTTCAGGTATTCTTCAGGTAGTGGTGGTGTTTTCAACTTCAGATGAAGAATGGAAGGTAGAGCAACCTAGCATTTCTATGATTTTTTTCTTGTTTAAATAATAAAAATTTGTCACAATGTCTTATAAATTTGAGAGACACTTGTGTAACATTTGGGAATCTTTATTCCAGGAACATTTTGCCAGTCAGTGTCAGTGGCTTCTTCAGTACAATACAGAGAAGAACAGTGGAAGATGAGGAGGAGTTTGAGGTAATTAGTCCCTCAGCTGGAAGTCAGTGTGTTCAGTTCATCCGTCTTGAGAAAAGTACTTCAAACTCCTCCTCCTTAACTTCCATCATTCTTCTGTGTATTGGACTGAAGAAGTCACTGGTTGATGAAACATTTTCGTAATAAAGATTCCCAAATGTTACACAGGTGTCTTATTCTTCAACTTGTTATTAATATAAACCATTGAGTGTGGGGGAGGTGCATGAGGCATTACATAGAATGAAAGGGGGTAAAGCAGCTGGAACTGACGGGATCATGACAGAAATGTTAAAAGCAGGGGGGGACATAGTGTTGGATTGGTTGGTATTTTTGTTTAATAAATGTATGAAAGAGGGGAATGTACCTAGGGATTGGCAGAGAGCATGTATAGTCCCTTTATATAAAGGGAAGGGGGACAAAAGAGATTGTAAAAATTTATAGGGGAAGAAGTTTACTGAGTATACCAGGAAAAATGTACGATAGGGTTTTTATTGAAAGAATTAGAGATAAGACAGAGAATAGGATTGTGGATGAGCAAGGAGGCTTCAGAGTGGGTAGGGGATGTGTTGATCAAATGTTTACATTGAAGCATGAATGTGAACAGTATTTAGATAAAGTTAGGGAAGTTTTCATTGCATTTATGGATTTAGAAAAGGCACATGATAGAGTGGATAGGGAAGCAATGTGGCAGATGTTGCAAGTATGTGGAATAGGTAGTAAGTTACTAAATGCTGTAAAGAGTTTTTATTAGGATAGTGAGGCTCAGGTTAGGGTGTGTAGAAGAGAGGGAGACTACTTCCCGGTAAAAGTAGATCTTAGACAGGGATGTGTAATGTCACCTTGGTTGTTTAATATATTTATAGATGGGGTTGTAAAAGAAGTCAGTGCTAGGGTGTTGGGGAGAGGGGTGGGATTAAATAATGGGGAATCAAATACAGAATGGGAGTTGACACAGTTACTTTTTGCTGATGATACTGTGCTTATGGGAGATTGTAAAGAAAAGTTGCAAAGGTTAGTGGATGAGTTTGGGAGGGTGTGTAGAGGTAGAAAGTTGAAAGTGAATATAGAAAAGAGTAAGGTGATGAGGGTATCAAATGACTTAGACAAAAAATTGGATATCACATATTTGAGAGGGAGAATGGAAGAAGTGAATGTTTTCAGATATTTGGGAGTTGACATGTCAGTGGATGGGTTTATGAAGGATGAGGTTAACCATAGAATTGAGGAAGGAAAAAAAGGTGAGTGGTGCGTTGAGGTATATGTGGAGACAAAAAACGTTATCTGTGGAGGTAAAGAAGGGAATGTATGAAAGTATAGTGGTACCAACACTCTTATATGGGTGTGATGCTTGGGTTGTAAATGCTGCAGCGAGGAGGCAGTTGGAGGCAGTGGAGATGTCCTGTCTAAGGGTAATGTGTGGTGTAAATATTATGCAGAGAATTTGGAAATTCAGTGTGTGAAAGCTAGGAGAATGTGTGGAGTTAATAAAAGTATTAGTCAGGAGGCTGAAGAGGGGTTGTCGAGGTGGTTTAGTCAATTAGAAAGAATGGATTAAAGTAGAATGACATGGAGAGGGACGGAGGGGATAAAGGAGGTTTTGTGGATCAGGGGCTTGGACTTCCAGCAGGCATGCGTAAGCATGTTAGATAGGAGTGAATGGAGATGAATGGTTTTTGGGACCTGACGAGCTGTTGGAGTGTGAGCAGAGTAATATTTAGTGAAGGGATTCTGGGAAACCGGTTATTTTTATATAGCCGGACTTGAGTACTGGAAATGGGAAGTACAATGCCTGCACTTTAAAGGAGGGGTTTGGGATATTGGCAGTTTGGAGAGATATGTCATATATCTTTATATGTATTTGCTTCTAAACTGTTGTATCTGGGCACCTCTGCAAAGATAATGATTATGTATGAGTGAGGTGAAAGTGTTGAATGCTGATGAAAGTATTTTCTTTTTTGGGATTTTCTTTCTTTTTGGGTCACCCTGCCTCGGTGGGAGAAGGACGACTTGTAAAAAAAGAAAAAATTACATCATGTCTTATAAATTCGTAATATACTGTAGCTACACTCAGTTTTTTTTATATTGCTAATAAGACATATGTAATTAGGTAGTAGGTTGGTAGACAGCAGCCACCCAGGGAGGTACTACCGTCCTGCCAAGTGAGTGTAAAACGAAAGCCTGTAATTGTTTTACATGATGGTAGGATTGCTGGTGTCCTTTTTTCTGTCTCATAAACATGCAAGATTTCAGGTATGTCTTGCTACTTCTACTTACACTTAGGTTACACTACACATACAGTGGACCCTCGCCTAACGCTATTAATCCGTTCCTGAGAGCTCAATGTTAGGCGAAATTAATGTTAGGCGAATTAATTTTCCCCTTAAGAAATAATGGAAATCAAATTAATCCATTCCTGACACCCCAAAGTATGAACAAAAAAAAGTTTTTACCACATGAAATATTAATTTTAATACACACAAACTGAAGAAGACATGCACAGTTACATGACACTTACCTTTATTGAAGATCTGGTGATAATTGATAGGATGGGAGGAGGGGAGAGTGTTGATGGTGTTAGTGTTCAGAAGGGGAATCCCCTTCCATTAGGACTTGAGGTGGCAAGTCCTTTTCCGGGGTTACTTCCCATCTTCTTTTAATGCCACTAGGACCAGCTTGAGAGTCACTAGACCTCTATCGCACAACATATCTGTCCATAGAGGCCTGTACCTCCCATTCCTTTATGACATTCCTAAAGTGTTTCACAACATTGTCAGTGTACAGGTTGCCAACACGGCTTGCAATAACAGTGTGAGGGTGATTTTCATCAAAAAAGGTTTGCACTTTAAGCCATATTGCACACATTTCCTTAATCTTTGAAGTAGGCAACTTCCTCAATTTCTCTATCCCCTCCTCCGAAGCAGTTTCCTCAGGTGTGGCCTCTTGCTGTTGAAGATGATCTAGCAGCTCATCAGTGGTTAGTTCTTCATTGCCCTCCTCCACCAACTCTTCCACATCCTCCCCACTAACTTCCCAAACCCCAAGGACTTCCCCAATGCCACAATGGATTCCTCAACTGGCATAGGATTCCCAGGGTTAGCCTCAAACCCTTCAAAATCCCTTTTGTCTACACATTCTGGCCACAGTTTCTTCCAAGCAGAGTTCAAGGTC